GATCAACTGACAACAGACCTACTGCTTGAAGGTGCTAGAAGCAGAATTGACTCCGCGTCGCGAGCGGAGGCGCCAGTGTTTTACGGATGTGCATGGCCCACGTGCGTATATCTACGCGGCTGCGCTGCACGGGGTTCCATTTTCTGACTCTCTACGAGTCTAGTCCCATGCCTGCGTGCCATGGAAGGTGTTTCGAATTTTGGTATGCGGTTTCCTGTGCGGCGTATTCAGACAACTGATTTTTGCATCAGCTGATCCCCGCGAGCGAGGTTTTGTACGGAGCCTTCACGCATTGAGAGACGATGCCTGGCGTCTCCAATTACTGAAGATCCTAGTTCAATTCATCACTCACTGCCGGCCACGCGTCCGACGCGTTCAAGGTGCGCATCAGTAATTGTGGCAACCGCTTATACACCTATATGCGAGCCTTTCGTAGACCCCCTCGTATATAACAAGCACTACGAGAGCTCCGAAGCAGGGTGGCACCCAGGTGGCGCTCCACCCTGCGGGCTGTCGGGCATGGGAAGCCAGCGCACGCTTGGAAATTGGTGCAGAGCGACACGTCGGTAGCGTCATTGCCTCTCATACGCGTGCAAAACCTTGACTTGCACTGAGGAGCACGGCGCTGCTCATATAGATTGGTGCGCTGTATGCCTCGTAGTCTATCAAATGAAGGTCAACGTGCAGATAAAGTATTCACCTGCCATGATGAGGAGCATGAAGGACAGAGACGTTATGGGGGGTATCTGTCATGTCGAACGGAGTTATAGCAGTTATGACTTCAAGTGACCGAGCTCCCAGAGCGTCAGCTCCATACTTTCGCTGGCACCAGCCATTGATGGGTGGTTATGGGTCCGACTTCAACCAGTCACACCTGCCATAACGAGCTTCGGCAAATGCCGAACAGTGGTTCTCCTGAACGCTGGCGGTCATGGAATCTCGAGACGTGTGCGACGCTTCCCAGGCTTCAGCAACCCCGCACAAGAGGTTATCGTACATTTGGAAAAACTCCAGCGAGGAAATGATTGCGAAGCACCGCTCATGATATGCGGCATACATGGTTTGCGGTCTCCCATTTCCCAGCCCCTGGGGCTATTCTGGGCCGGGCGACGGAGTGCGGGTGATGGGCCTGGGTAATTGCCTTGCGCGCAGGCTACATAAGAGGCGGGTGCGGTGCGCTGGGTGCTGCCCCCGCCCCCGCCGACGATCTGCTCTCTGTCTCTTGTCTGCCGTCGATAGCAACGATCGGATCTAAAGCCACGTCACTCGTAAGTTCGCATCTGCTCTTTGCCTCCTCCCCTCATCATCGCGCCTCTGCTGCCGAGCATGTTCTTGCACGCCCCCCTCTCCTCCTTCTTCAATCGTTCAACTCGAACTTCTCGATCTCAGGCGCCGATCCTCACGTGATTCCATTGTCGCGTCAAATGTCGCAATTGGGTCGCAATTGTTAATTTGGTCATACTTGCAGAACGTCTGGCGCTGGTTGCGACATTCTGCGACCTCCCCCTCATCGTCGCCTCTACTTCTCCGCACGCCTAGGACCCAAATTCTCGTCATGGACACTTGCCCGACGGAGCTTCACCTATACATCTGCCAACTCGTATCCTGCGTGGACGATGGCCGCACGATCCGCTCTCTAGCAAGCGTATCTCACTACTACCGATCGCTGGCGCGGCACCTCATTCACACATCCGTGTCGCTATCCTCCGCGGAGAGAATCATCGACTTCGCGAGGAAGCTCGAAGACGACACCCTACGAAAAGGCGTCAGACATCTGTTCATGTCCGACCGCCATGCGACCTCCAAATCTCACCCGCCACAACAGACGGTACAAGAATCCATAGCACGGATCCTTACCCTCACCGGCCCCGCACTCGAGACGCTCTCCATCCACTGCAGCAGCCTGCTCTCCAGCGCGTCCCTCCTTGCCCACACCGCCTTCCGTATACCCCTCCCCCGTCTCGAGGAACTCGCAGTACACGGCCTATACCCGTTCCCCTCCGACGCCCATACCCACCTCCCACGACTGCACCGGCTGCACCTCTCGGGGCACCGCAATCCGCACGGGCTCCTCCAGCTCGGCGGAATCGAGACCGCATGCCCAGACCTGCGTGTCCTGCGGATCGACGGCGTCTCCGGCGCGCCTGCCTTCGCGCGTGAGCTGCAGCAGGCGATGTGCGAGCTGCGCGACCCGCATCCGATGGACGACGAGCCGGCAGGGACGGCACTGGAGCTTTTCCCCGCCCGCTTCCCGCCGCTCATCGAGCGTGTTACGGTGCAGCCGGCGAGATCGGAGGGCCGCGCATCTGCGACGAAGCGGGTGAAGGAGGAGACGATGATGCGGGTGTTCGATGCTATGCGGAAGGAATTCGTGATGGGGAGCGGCGAGGACGAGCTCGTGTTCGACTTACTCGAGCCTCCTGCGGGCGCGGAGGATGTGCACGCGGTGATGCGCGACTCTTGGGCACGGAGGATTAGCGGTGATGATGGCGACGTACTTCGTATATAGAGAAGGGTGCGCAGTTCTGGGAACTGCTATGAGGGGATTGTATCTTGTGGCGTACATGTTTATTTCTATCTTGCAAGAGCCGCGTCCCGCAGAGTTTTCAGTCCCGTTCAAGTCCTGTTCACACATAAAGCTGTTAACTGGCCGGCTTTTGCCTTCTGAATGGGTTATTGTACCGCGGCTGACGAGGAGCAGTGGAACATAGTGATGAGCGGTGACCGGTGATGACTTCGGATACTATGCCTCACCGGGTCTTTCAAAATTCTTACCCGAATTTTGAAACACCCGGGAAACCCCTCTACTTTGACCGTTTTTCTTTCGGAAAAAAATCCAGGCCATGTTTACAACCTTTCTCTATCCAACGGTGCTACTCTCATGAGGAAGAGAGGTGTGGAAGGTACGACAAGCGGGAGGGGACACCCTGATGGGCTTTTGATGGCATCAATTCGTGTGTCGCGCTTACCCTCACAACTCCTTCACTTCGTGGCCTTGAAAGTACCACCATTAGACAGTGTTCAGTCGAAAACCCCACCTACTTTTTTTCCCGGACGAATTTCGACGGCTTGAAGGGGGTTTCCCGGGTGTTTCAAAATTCGGGTAAGAATTTTGAAAGACCCGGTGAGGCATAGTAGGGGCGGCGCTAAGCGCCGCGCCACATCGGCCCGATCTACCGAGCCGTCGGATTCTGCCATGCGGCGTGCGCGTGATCAACACCTGTTCTCAACTTCCATCTCCAGCATGTTGAGTTTCTTGACTTATGGCTGATGTCCTTCTTCCAGTTTCTCTTGCCTTCAGCATTTCCCTTGCTTCATGCATATCCTTTTTCTGCCGCCTTCTTCTGAACTGCGAGGCCGGAACCGCGGGACAGCAAGTCCCTCCGAGACACTCCGTCATGGGAAGTGAACACCTCTCGCGCACGTTCCGCTCGATCTCAGCAGTGAATCAAGACGGTCTCTCTTCTCCTATACTGCATCCGGTTTATAAGGTGTAGAATGAAGAGTGCATATCCCCTCTACGTCTCTTCCACGGCGACACATATACCTCCCCCGCCGCCGACGCCACCACCTTCGCCGCCCTGCCGCCTCACCATCCGACATGCGCCCCTCAAACGACGAGCCCGTCCTCGGCGCGGACTACACTTATAACCCACTCGAGCCCGGCCGCTTCACCCTCGATAGCGAGGAGGACTGCATCGGCCAAGGCACATACGGCACCGTCTTCCGCGCGATCGACACTCACAATGATAACCGCACCATCGCCTTCAAAGCCCAGAAACTCGGGCACCCCAAATCTGCCCTGCGCGCTATGCAGAGACAGGAAGCCCTCATCCACGCCGCCATCTCCGACCACCCAAACATCGTCACCTTCCACGGCGCCTTCGCCGACGACGAGCACCTCTTCCACGCCATGGAGCTCGTCGACGGCACCGACCTCTACGACACCGCCGCCTCCGGCATCTTCAAGGGCCACCCCGAGCTCATCCGCGACGGGTTTTTGCAGATGATCAGCGCCCTGCGCGCCATGCACGCCGAGGACTTTTACCACCGCGACATCAAGCCCGAGAACATCGTCGTCTCCGCGGATGGGCGCGAGTGGCGGCTCTGCGACTTTGGGCTCGCTAGCGCAAACCCGACCTCGCGCTGGAGCGGGTGGGGCACGGACGCGTACCGCGCGCCCGAGTGCAATGGGGGCGAGTACCGCAATGCGCCCGCGGACGTTTGGGCGCTCGGCGTCGCGCTCTTCGTCGCGGTCACGCAGTGCGCGCCCTGGGGGGAGGCGAAGCCCGAGGACGTGTTCTTCCGCGCTTTCATCCGCGACGGGCCGCGGTACTTGTTGCGCGCGGCGAGTTTGACGCCCGAGTTTTATCGGCTGCTGCGCCGGTTTTTCGAGACGGATCCGGAGGAGCGGATAACGCTGGAGGAGGCGGAGGAGGCGCTGCGGGGGCTGGGGGTGTTCACGACGGAGGGGGAGGTCGACATCGACAGTTATTTGCAGTACCGGCTTCCTGTGGAGTTTGATCCACCGGCGGGGAAGACGCCGTCGCTGGGTGCGTCGTCGTCGAGCTCGCGATCTACGGTTTCTGTCGACATGCCCTCGCCATCCGCGCAGCAGCTGCCGCAGCCCTCGTCTGAGTCAAAGCGTGTTTTGACGGCGGAGTTGAATGCTCTGCATCTGGGCGACGAAGTGGTCGTCGCATAGCGTGAGGCTGGTTTTGATGTTCGCTCGTATCCTTCGGACCACATAGAGTAGATTATAGACAGGGACTTCCTGGGACTTTCGGCTTCGGATACCTCGCAGTACCTACATTGCTTTACTGTACTTGTATCATCTAAGTGTTGTTGTTGTACATATGTATTGAGTGTAGGACAAGGAAATCGCCAACTACCAGATATGAATTCGAATGAGAAGGCAGCATTGACCCCGGCGCTTGAATATGTGCATTCCGATATATTACAATCCATGATGTATAAGGGCTGTTGTGTATCTTGAGATAGCCCGCCTAGCTCAATCGGCTAGAGCGTCAGACTTTTACGGGTAACGTAGAATCTGAAGGCTGCGGGTTCGACCCCCGCGGTGGGCTGTCTTCATGACTTCGTAGACCATATTTTTGGCCACCAGTTTATCTCGTAAACCTCGTCGCATATACCAACATACTCGATGCCTTCGTCAACTCGATGGCTCACTCAACTCCAGGTAGCTCGCTTGCATCAGGCATTTTGCTTCCAACTGCGCCCAGTTTCTTCGATTTGGCCCGTCAGGTCAGCTTGGTATGAATGTTCCAGACCACACGAATTATTACGCGATGCAATTTTCCACCTTGAGATACTTAGAAGCCATGATGGAGAAGAAGGATGGAGGGTCAAGAAATTATGATGTGCGGGTGACAAGTATTGATACTAAAGCCTTGAGCGTCCATTGAAACGGCAATGATTACAGTGATGAACTTCATGAGGTTGAGACAGGTCCGTTAAGCCGAGTCGTGAGGCCCTTTCGTGGCCGAGGTGGAGGATCGGACGCTTGCATTACTGGGAAGTCGCCGAGGACCACCAGGCGCGCGCTGAGGACGAGAAAGAAAAGACAGAGACGTACGTCGCAGCGAGGTAATAGACGCCGTGGGTGACGGAGGTCCTCGTGTAGGATCCATCTCGCCGGGAGAATCCGTTAGAGGCACGTCTCCATGAGAGCCGCCCCCAGCACCCCCAGCTACCGAGCTTTCAGCCGAGTTCTCCTCCGAGCGCACGTCCATGATGGGCTCCAGCGTGATAGCATGGTGCGAAAAGTCAGGCAACCACGAATGTGCAAGCTCGGGCAACCGCGGCGCATGCGCCGGATGTGTCGAGGGCGATAAGCCATCGGGGGTGCGGACCAGCAGATCGGGAGTGGCCAGCGCGGGCGGCAGAGGGCTCGCCGCACCCCGCGGGACCGACATGGCGCTATCCCGGCTACTCCTCCTCCGGTTGGACGCATGCAGGTCGCCGACGTTGAAGTACTCGAACTGCAGCTCCGCCGACCGGTCCCTCGGAGTCAGCCCATGTCGTCCGCGCCGCTCCTCCGGGCTCGGTGGCGCCCGCTGACCGTAGTCGCGGACGCCAACCTCGCTGTCGCCACCATCCTCGTCGCCCGACCCGACGGCTGCCGCCCACGGTTCTTCCTGCTGGTACGGGAAGAAGGACGCGCGCGACCCCGAGGTCTCTTGCTTCACGTGTCTGGGACGCGACGCCGAGCGTGGGCGTGCGCCAGCGAACACGGCTGACGGCGGCTGCGGCGATACCCCTCGCCTGGAGTAGATCGAGTCCCGTTGAGCGGCGGTGAGCGACGACGAGGCCGATGCGCCGCGGGTGTGGGCAGTGTCCAGCAATGGGTACGGGCCGGCCTCGCTGACCGGTGTCGTGCGTGCAGGTTGATCGCTGTCGAACATACTCGACCGGTCCGGGGGGTTGAAATAGGCCTTCCGCAGACGGGCGCGCGTTTCCTCGGGCGTGCTTGCCAGGAGAGGCGCATGCGTCGGCGACGCCAGCTCTCCGAACTCGCCAAGGCCGGGGCTATCGTATTGCTGCTCAGCCGAGTGTGGACGCGGCGTCGCAGGCGTCAGGTCTAGCGAAGGTGGTCGATGTTTCGGGGGCGGTGGTGGAGGGATGCCTATTCATATGATGAGCGACCATGTATGAACGTCTAGGGTTCGACATACCACCATCTGTGCTGCCGCTGCCGACGCTTGCATGCGTAGGATTCCAGGAGTTCAGCGTAGCTCCGGAGTCCCAAACCACATCCCGATCTTCATGATTCACCGGCTCATATTTGCCCTTCCCATTGGCCATACCGATCAACGTATGCGAGGTGGACATGCTGAACTCGCTGCCAATGCGCGCTTGCGCGAGTGGCCTAGTAGGCTCATCGTGCAGATTCGTGAGCTCATAGACACCCTGAATTATCGAAGGTCGGAAATCAGCTCATGAATCAGCCGGAGTAAAAGTCGACGCACCTTCGCTTGCTTGTCCTTCCCGCGCCTGAAGATGCCGAGAAACGATAAGCGCCGCGTTGTCTGCGCCTCCTGCGTGCGCTTCCCATCCGCATCAGCGAACCAGCCCGCCTCGCCTGTCCCGCGCAAAGTCGGTGCGAGTTTGCGATCGCGCCGACGAACATAGAAGAATCGCAAGGCAAAGAGACCGAAGCAGACGAGGAAGAATGCTGCGCGTGGGATGAGCCCTGGGCAAACGGGTGTGCACGTGCAACTTACCGAGGCAGCCCAGGAGCACCTTGATACCAGTGGAAAGACCTGGCAATCAAGTCGTGTCAGCAAGGAGGATGCGAAGGAAGGAGAGATGGGGGGAGGGATAAATCTAAGCGAGGGCGGATAGATAAAGGAAAGATTCAGCCCGCCTTCCGACCGACGGGGCAACCACCGAACCGAGCATCGACGTGATATCGCTTCCTCACCGTCCGCTCTTCCCCCACCTCGCGCTAGCTCTTTCCCCCACCTCGCGCTAGTCGACGTGGTTCGTAACACATGGCATCGCGCGCACCACCGGCCGATTACAGTCCGAGAAGAATCGCTTCGTGTGCAGATACATGGCGGTCGCGGACGCCCTCATGATAATCGAAGCGATACAATCGACCAAGGACAACGATGACTCGCTTGAGGACAGATAGATTCCCCGAGGACAGACGAATTTCCCGAGGACAGACGAATTTCCCGACAACATATGGATTCCCCGAGAACATATGGATTCCCCGAGAACAGAAAAATTCCCCGAGAACAAAACAAATTCCCCAAGAACAGATGAATTCCCCAAGAACAGATGAATTCCCCAAGAACAGATGAATTCCCCAAGAACAGAAAAATTCCCCAAGAACAAGAACAGATGGAATATTTCCCAAAAAGGATGGAACCAAAACTCACCATGGCCACCACCACCAGCTTCGTCTTCCGTATTCGTCGTAGCGTCTGCACTGGGATATGCCAAGCCATTTATTCGCACGGCGTCAAACTCCTCCGCCGCCCAGGTGTGGTTGGTGAGGGGGATGAGACCGAAGAAGGGCTGGTCGTCGTCGTAGCCGCGGGGCTGGTCGTCGTCGTAGCCGCGGGGCTGGTCGTCGTCGTAGCCGCGGGGGTCGTCGTCGTCGTAGCCGCGGGGGTCGTCGTCGTCGTAGCCGCGGGTGATTATGGTGTCGGTGTTGTAAGCAGGATGGTCGTGAGGAGGAAGGAGGTCGGAAGGAGGATGGTGGTCGGAAGGAGGATGGTGGTCGTGAGAAGGATGGTGGTCGTGAGGAGGAAGGAGGTCGGTAGAAGAATGGTGGTCGGAAAGAGATTGGCGGTGCTGTTCAAGAGGAGGGTGCAGGTCGGAAGGAGGATGGCGGTGCTGTTCGAGAGGAGGGTGCTGGTCGGAAGGAGGATGGCGGTGCTGGTCGGAAGGAGGATGGCGGTGCTGGTCGGAAGGAGGATGGCGGTGCTGGTCGGCAGGAGGGCGCTGATTGCATTGGTCGCAAGGAGGGTAACGGATGTGCGAGTACCGGTCGACGTAATAGTGGAATGGGTCGTCCGAGGTGGGTTCAGGGAAGGGTAGTATTGTCCGCCGCCTTCTCCTGCGCGAAGACGAGACTGCACGGGATGCTGCACGGCGCCTATTGTGGCCGCCCTTGTTATCGTCTTCGTCCTCCTCGTTCTCCTCGTTCTCCTCTCCGTCACTGCCCTCCGTCGTCGTGCCATTATCGAACGTGCTCGGATTCCGGTACGCCATCACGCTATACACATTCCGCATGAATGGCGCCCCAAGCACGATATCCACAGTCGCCGCCGCCGCCCCGCCCCCCAGATTCGTCGTGCTCTGTATCGCCCCCGTACAGCTCCCCCCGCCGCCCGAGTTCGCCCCGCTCTCGCCGCGCGTGTCGAGGCTCAGGTCGATCGGGTGCACCGGCACCTCGACCTCCACGCCCGTCGTCGTGTCGGCCATAGTGAACGTCAGATTCAGCGGCGTGGAGCAGGGGATGTAGAAGAGGCCGTCCGCGCCGGGGCCGACGCCGACGGCGCCGTAGATGGCGTTGGCGACATCGGGGCGGGCGAGGATGAGGGGCACGCCGGAGTCGAGGACGGCGCGAAGGGGCGTGGCAAGGAGGGACTGGTCCTTGTCGAGGGCGTTGGAGTGGCCGGCGAGCGTGGAGGGGTGTGCGACGATGTCTTTGACGAGGACGTTGAAGAGGAGCGTGCCGGAGAGGGAGGACACGAGGGTGAGGTAGTTGAGGGCGGCGTGGGGGGACTGGTCGAGACGCAGCTGCGTTGCGGAAGGGTGGGTGCCGATGCCCATGAGTGAGGGGTAGCGGTCACTCCCGGGCCGCTCGAGGAGCAGGGATATGAACGCGCTGGCGGGCGGGTCGTCGATGGCGAACAGGTTTGTCGTGATCGCCTCGCCATTCGGCGCGTCATCGTCGTCGTCCTCGGCCGGCTCGGGCACTTGCTGCCTGATGATGGAGTTTGCAGAGAACGCGAGCCCGAGCACGCCGTCGAATCTTCGCGAGAGCGGCTCGTTGTCGACCGTGGTCGCCGCGGAGAGCGCTTGCGCGGGGATCTCGAAGCCGTCGTCGCCCCCTAGACGCACCGCATCGTACACGATCTCGCCGGCGACGCTGCCTTGAAGGTATGCGATGGAGAAGGGCGTGCCGCCGGAGCCTTGCATGGAGTCCGACGCGGAGGGATCATAGCGCTCCCCCGCATCCCCGCATGGGTCGCTCTCGCAGTCCGCGCCTGCGACCCAGAGGTCCGAGGAGCCAGTGTCGACCTGCACATTCAGAGTCTGCGCGGGCGAGCCCAGCTCGATGGGTATTGCGTACGAACTAGGGCGGGGGTGAGCTGGGTTCACGAAGACAGGAATCCGCGGCGCACACATCGTATTGGCCGTTCTGAAAGGTCTGCATCTCGATGAGCACGCCGCGCCCATCGCGTTTCTGGCGCTGCCGCCTGTGCACATCGTGGCTTGCGTCGTGCGCGCCGTCGTCCGTCCTTGGGCGCTTGCCATTCATGGTCAGGCTCTTGCGCTCGTCGTTATGCACTCATATAGGAGCCGCTTCGTACGAGCTGGTGATCAG